TGACAGGCAGTGACCACAATAGAGGGGCTGAGGACTCAATAATGTGGGTAAATGTTGAAACCAAAATGTTGTTTATATGAAACCATCATAAGATTGTATATAAATGATACTTTAAAAAAAGAATCCTGGGGCACCTGGTCCCAAATTTGGATAAATAAATGAATGAATAAATAATGGTCTCTAATGACTAGCTTTTTACATGCATGGAACTCAGCGTTACTTATTATTCAATACTCTAAAATTCTGGTCGATACCAATGACAGAAATAAAGAGAGGACAAGATGATGAGGTAGTGAGTTCATCTGCTTTAATAAATTTATTATTGTTATTGTTTAAATTTAGAAAGTCATCTTGAAAATTAAAATCTCAAGATGTTTTGCATTGTGGACACCAAGTCCCAGTTGCTGTATCTACTGCCACCTGCTGGCAGAGAGAGAGTGACTAGTTTCTTAATTGCTAAACCTACAAACTAAAGTTACAGTTCACGTTATACAGTCATCGAAATAAATGTCGAGCATCTGGATGTAATAGGAGTTTCTACTTTTTATTACACACTCTAATTTCTGTATCACTACCAGATCAAGAGGCCTTGTGGACTTGCTACTGGCCCATGAAGCTTGATGCCTTATCTCATTTTAATTCCACTGTTAAAAAGTAGTTTTAGGATTTCCTTAGGTTAACAGTTTCCTCACTTCTAAGACTGAAACCGCAAAACTTGACTAGTTGCCTTTACAAGGATACCAGAAAAAGAATGGAGAAAAAAAACATGTCGAAAAGTAAGGATGCTTTTATTTTGTTTGTACCAGGCATCTGGTTTGTTCTACAAATGGATTTTTAAAAATTTGATTCAATAACAAAACTTTTATTTTGCCATGTCGATTAATATGTTTTAAAATCTAGTAGGATCATTCTACAAGTAAATTAATAAATGGTATGTATTGGTAATACTGGATCTCTGTACATATCTTTAAAATATTCATAACCTTTGACCCAATACTTTTCATTTCAGAAATTCTAAGGAAGCAATCACAAAATGGTGAAACAAATTTATTTACAAATATCTATCACATGATTTGTACTAACAGGAAATTGGAAACAATGTAAATGTCCAGTTAAATAATAATGGTAAACAATAGCTGTAATCATTGTTTTAATGAAATTTTTAAACAGCCATCAAAATGACATTCATGAATGACTTAGAATTACATGGAAAAGTATATTTTATTTGTCCAGTAAAATGCATATATGATATGATTGCAACTATATAAAACTGAATAAAATTTTAATCTGTATGTATAAAAATATCTAGAAAGAAATCAAGGGTCAGAGTTTTGATTATAGATATTTTTTGGTATTCTAATCCACCATCCTCCATGGTAAATTACTAAAATCCCACATGATGCCTAACAAGTACTATGTATTCAATAAGCTTTTCAAACCTTTCTTCTACTGAACCACTCCCAGTGATGGAGAGAGATTCTGTATATTGCTTTATATCTTTATTCTTACAAATTTGTGAAATATTTTCATCTTTCCCCTACTTGATATTTCCAAACGAGACCATGTACTTTTAAATCTATGTCAGAATATTAGCCATAAGTATATGGAAAAGGATTCGTGGTAGGGGTGCAGCCTCTTAGCATGATCATGGTCTAGATTCTAGAGCTAGAACTAGTAGCTGGGCTTCAACCTCATAGGATTAGAAACCTGGGTTAACTGGTTTCCTCAGGAGTGATCAGAATAGGGCCATTTTAATCACACTTACTTATTACTAATTATAAACTAGATTCTGATGTTTCAATTTACATTGAAAACCAGAACGTGTGTTAACTCATCATTATAGATAGACCTTACAGAACCAAAGTTGCATGATAATGAATTGACTGAGGAAACTCCAAAGCCCAGTATAATCAAGCTCTGAATGCCCTTTCTCTCTGTTAGGATATATCTAGTAAGGGGAATGATAACAGTATAGAAACAGATGGTTGCATTTTCTCCAGTGCTGAGAACCCTAATTTGTTTAGGATACACTCTCCTAATATTCCTCCCTGAAATCATGCATTCAGGAAAACTGGCCTTAGCTCTAGCCTGAGGGAGTGAGTCTCATTTGGTCTAATTTCCTTTCGTGGCTATTACATTCTCCTTGCCACTGATTGGTTTAGGGAGAACCATGTGATTCCACTCAGGAAAATGAGACGTGGGGAAGTTGTCTGAGTAGCCTTCCAGGAAAGATTTCTTAGCTCTTAGAGCTAAAATTATAAAACTCATTTAAAAAATATAGGGGGAAACCCTCATGATACTGGATTTGGTGGTGATTTCTTGGGTATGACACCAAAGCACAGGCAACAAAGGAAAAAACATAAATTGGACTACATCAAAATCAAAAACTTTTGTGCATCAATATACCTGATAAAGTGTTAATATCCAGAATATGTTAAGAATGCCTACACTTCAACAACAAAAAAGCATAATTTAAAAATGGTCAAAGAACCCAAATAGACATGTCTCTAAAGAAGATAATGGCCAATAGCATATGAAAAGGTGCTTATCACTAATCATTAGGGAAATGCAAATTAAAATCATGACAAGATACTACCATTCATCTATTAGGATGGCTAGTATTAAAAAAAGGTGTTGGCAAAGATGTAGAAAAACTGAAACTCTTGTACACTCTTGGGAATCAAAATGGTACAGGCACTATGAAAAACAGTATGGTGGTTCCTCAAAACATTAAATATAGAATTACTATATGATCTAACAATTCCATTTGAGAAGGAATGGAAAACAGGGACTCAAACATGTATTTATACACTTATGTTCACAGCAGCATTATTCACAATAGCTAAAAGGATGGAAGCAACTCCTATGGTCCATCAAAAGATGAATGAATAAACAAATTGTGGTATATCCATACAGTGGAATATTTTTCAACCTCAAAGGTTGCCAGGGACAGCAGGGAGGGGGAAGAGGAGAGTTACTGTTTAATGGGTACAGAGTTTCAAATTTGTAAGGTGGAAAGAGTTCTAGAGATAGGTGGTAGTAATGGCTGCACAAAATGTGAGTGTACTTAATATCATTCAATTTTACACTTAAAAATGATTAAGGTGGTACATTTTATGTTATGTGCACTTTACCATAATTTCTTTAAAAAGAGAGAGACCCAAGGCTGAAATAGTTCCTTTTCTAACTCCAATTGTTAATGTGGAGTCAATGCTTGGAGCTGCTGGAGCTTCAGTAGTCCTCTTGTAACCATGAGGGAACTAGCCAACGCTCTGCAGGTAGCAGAGCAGAGACAGAAAGAACTTGAGTGCTTGGTAACAGGGTTAGGTCCCTGAATTAATGAACTTTCGTACTGTCATACTTCCAGACTTTTTGTTATATTAAATACATTATCCTTTTTGTTTAAGTCCTTCTGAGTTATGTTTTCTGTTATTTGCAACTAAATCAACAGATATAATAACACTGTTATCCATTGGTTAGGAAACCATATCCCCCAGGGCTAGAGTCACAATGAGCAGTTCTTTTTCTCTTTCTTTTTCTAAACCCTTCATGAGGTAGTAGAAAGTTATGTAACTATAATATCACCTCATGACTCATTACAGTTTTCAAAATTTCTAGCTTTAAGGTGATAGGATTCCAGATCAACAGTCATCCCCAACCCTCTGTGGCCACTTCCTAAAAATATCTGCAATAAAAAAGTACATCTCTGTTATTACTATATGTGTGTAATTCCCTGGTATATTAATGCTATGATTATTGTGCTTTGTTGTATTAAGACAGTATTACACTGTAGGTATGAAACTGCATTCTTGTGGGCCTCTCAGGAAGGGTGAAGTCATTTCTGCTGCCAGATACTGATGGGAAAAGTGTTTTCAGAAAGAAGCTTCAAACAAAGAGGGCAGTTCAAGATGAATAGTTAAAGTAGTTTTGCTGCATGAAGGGTCAAATGCCTAGGAACCAAAAGACATCATCAAGAAAATAAAAAGGCAACCCACTTAATAGGAGGAAATATGTGCAAATCATATATCTGATAAGGCCTACTATCCAGAATATATAAAAAACTATTTACAGCTCAACAACAAGAAGACAAACAGTTCAGTAAAAACGTGAGCAAAGGACTTCATAGACATTTCTTCAAAGAAAATTTACAAATGGTCAGTAAACGCATGAAAAAGATGCTCAACATCACTGGGGAAACGCATGAAAAGATGCACATCTTTAGGGAAATGCAAATCAAAATTACAATGAAATATGACTTCACACCCATTGTTATTGCTATAATAAAATAATAACAGGTGTTGATGAGGATGTGGAGGAATTAGAACCTTCATAAATTGCCAGTAGGAATATAAAATAGTGTATCTGTTGTGGAAAACACTTTGGTAGTTCCTCAAAAAGTTAAACAGAATTACCATATAACTCAGAAATTGTACTTCTCGGTACACACCCAAAGATATGAAAACAAAGACTCAAATTCATATACACACATGCTCATAGCCACACTATTTATGGTAACTCAAAAGTGGAAACAACCCAAATGTCCATCAACTGATAAACAAATTGTGGTACATACATACACAAGGGACTTTTACTCAACTAAAAAAAGACAAACTACTAATACATGCTACAACAGGAATGGACCTTGAAAACATACTAAGTGAAAGAAGCCATACCCAAAAGACCACGTACTGTATGATTCCACTTATGTTAAGTATCCAGAATAGGTAAACCCACAGCATTAGAAAGCAGATTGGTAGTTGCCAGGCAGTGAAGGGAGAGGAGAAAGGGGAACGACTGCTTAATGGGTGCAGGGTTCTCTGGGGGGGTGAAGGAAATGTTTTGGAGATGATGAAAATACTGTGGTTGCTCAACATTATAAATGCACTAAAAGCCACTGAATTATTTGCTTTAGAATGATTAATTAAGGAGGGGGCTCAAGATGGCGGCATGAGTAGGGCGGTGGAAATCTCCCAAAACCATATATGTTTTTGAAAATACAGCAAATACAACTATTCCTAAAAGAGTGACCAGAAGTAAGAGTACACCAGCCAGGTTACATCTACATCTGCGAGAACTCAGCATCTCACGAAAAGGATAAGATACTCACGCCTCCATGTTTCCTGCTAATGTAAGTAAAAACAACCTTCCTACCTTTTAAAAGACTTACTTATTTAACTGAAATTCAATTCAATGTTTACTCCAAGGTTCAAAATCTTAAAGAAAGAGAACTAAATTGCCAAAATAACAGCTAGCTATTAAAACATCACCCACTGCATATTAAACTACATCTTCTCTGAGGTATCTTACTTGGGAAACATCCCTAAATGCAGCATACTATTATATTTCAAGTAGTCATAGATTCTGAGTGGTAGGATTAATTTTCCCTTTTTTTTTCTCTTATATAGTTTCTAAATTTTCTGGTTACTTTTATCAAAAAGGGAAAATTTTATCAGTGAGTCACTAACTATAGATGCACAAAATGATTCCTTTCCAATTAAAATGACAAACTTTTCTTTGGAAAGGCATTATTTCTATATAAAATGTCAGAATGTTCTCTAAATATTAAAAATCAGCTTAAAGAAATAGAAGAGAAGTAAAAACAGTAACTTGGTATTGTACTTTAATAGCAAGAAGTACCACTGTAGCCAATATATTTACAAAATAGAAATAAAAAACATAAAACTTGGGAGAGAATGCTTTTCTTTTATTAAGGTATCATTGATATACAATCTTATGAAGGTTTCACCAGAAAAACAATGTGGTTACTATATTCACCTTTATTATTGAGCCCCCCCTACCCCATTGCAGTCACTGTCCATCAGTGTATTAAGATGCCACAGAGTCCCTACATGTCTTCTCTGTGCTACACTGTCTTTCCCGTGATCTCATAAAAACCATGTGAACTAATCATGATACCCCTCAAACCCTTTCTCCCTCCTGCATCACCCACCTTCCCTCTCCCCTCCCCTTTGGTAACGGCTAGTCCTTCTTAGAGTCTGTGAGTCTGCTGCTATTTTCTTCCTTCAGTTTTGCTTCATTGTTAGACTCCACAAATGAGGGAAATAATTTGGTATTTGTCTTTCTCTGCCTGACTATTTCACAGAGCATAATAACCTCTAGATCAAACCATGTGGTTGCAAATTGCAGGATTTTCTTTCTTGCGGTTGAATAGTATTTCATTGTGCATATGTACCACCTCTTCTTTATCCATTCATCTATTGATGGACACTTAGGTTGCTTTCAAATCTTGACTATTGTAAATAGTGCTGCAATAAACATAGGGGTGCATATGCCCTTCTGAATTTGAGACTTTGTTTTCTTTGGGTAAATTCCTATGAGTGAAATTGCTGGGTCAAATGGTATTTATATTTTTAGTTTTTTGAGGAGCCTCCATTTTGCTTTCCACAATGGTTGAACTAGTTTACATTCCACAGGCAGTGTAGGAGGGTTCCCCTTTCTCCTCATCCACGCCAGCATTTGTTGTTCCTAGTCTTTTCAATGTAGGCCATCCTTACTGGTGTGAGGTGATATCTCATTGTGGTTTTAATTTGCATTTCCCTGAGAATTAGCGATGTGGAGCATCTTTTCATGTGCCTGTTGGCCATCTAGATTTCTTCCTTGGAGAAGTCTCTGTTTATTTCCTCCACCCATTTTCTAATACGGTTATTTGCCTTTTGGGTGTTGAGATGTGTGAGTTCTTTATATATTTTGGATGTTAAGCCCTTGTCGGATATATCATTTATCAATATATTCTCCCATACTGTAGTATGCCTTGTTGTTCTGCTGATGGTGTCCTTTGCGGTAAAGAAGCTTTTAAGCTTGATGTAGTCCCATTTGTTCATTTTTGCTTCTTTTTCCCTTGCCAGAGAACATGTGTTCAGGAAAAAGTTGCCCATTATTGCCCACATTATACATACTAATCGTAATGCCCCCTTTCTTTTTCCCTGCCCTTATCCCTCCCTTCCCACCCCTCCTGCCCAGTCC